ATGGACCAGACACAGCTCATGATGGACCAGCTCAAGTCAGAATCGCAGCTATTGCTGTAAGTTTATTGTCCCTTCTGCCTTGTTCCTACCACTCAAGAAATCATCTGCCGTGCAAGCAGATCTATGAGTTTGAGTGTGGCTGTTATTTTCATTTCTTTTACATTAGCTATCCCACAGAAATTCGGTATGATGTTGTAGCAATTCTCTATGTTGACAACCTTCTCAAGGCAATACACTAAGTATTATAACACCTTGTGGAGATGTAGGAGCTTTTTATTTATTTTGAGAATCATATTACCTGGCTAAAAATGACTAATGTAGTGTACGACTTGCGCGTAATCTAGAGGTGATCGCGAAGTAAAAAGGAAAAACACATCCATTTGGTGTATGTCCGTAGCAGGATTCGAGCCTGCGGCTTCTCGGAGCTGAAGGAATGGACCACAACGAGATGATTTGACCACTAATCGATACGGACATAACAATACGTAATAGCCATCATGGCAGGGCCCAGGCGCGGCTAAAATCATCCAAAATTCGATTTCATTTCTCGCAGTGACTCCCTCCATTACCTTGACCAACGTCGACCAACCCTGCTGCCTCCGAATGGTGTCAATACCAAATCCCAAGCTACCTCCTAGCGCTCCTGAAATGGAAGAATCCTACGCATCCACTGGCGTGCTCCCTCTCGGACTCGCTACGCGTCTCGGCGGCGCGTCGTCGACGCTCAACTTACCCGCACCCAGAGTCCTGCTCGCGCTGGCACCACAGAACATTGCGTGGGAGTTTTTAGATGTGCTGGGGGAGTGTGGGGGTCCCCTGCACTTGACTCTTCCGATTTATGGATGTTGGGCTAAGGGAGTCTATTGTTGCAGGTAATAATCCGCGATGGCGACCAATGTCTCATCTCAGGGCTGAGCTTCTTCCCGCCTGTGTTCGTCCCCTGCACTGCACGCGTATCATCCTGTTTTCTGTGCACTCGAATTCGGTACCGTTCGTATCCCTGGATGACTCGTATGCGTTTCCTTATATATATAGACGGAAACGTTTGCGGCGATTGAAAAGTTTGCGGGTGTCAAGGTGGACGATGAAACGCTCGACCATCCACACAATGCGCTGAATCTCCAGATTGATGCGCACAAGACAATGGGTAGGCACCTGGGCTGGGGTATCAAAGCGATACCATCTTCTAATGACCAAGTAATTTATTCTCATTTTTTCATTTTGTTTTGGTCCCGAATTTGAATCCATATCCCCACTCACTCAGGGTTTTTTTTTTGCTTCATCGGTCCAGCGCATCACCACTATGATCGACAGGGCCTCGCCAGAAATATATGGTTAACTGATACGATGCTAGACTTACTGGAGAAAATCTTGGTTCTCGTGATACCAGTTGGAGCGAGCTTGACACCAGCGCACGTCAAAAAATCATCGATGCAAAGAATGTTTGCTCTGTCAATCGCACCTCAGACTGTCAAAGCGACTACTGCCATTCTGATTCTTGTAATACTCGGCATGATCCTTGAAGCTTGAGCATAGTGAGCTGACGCCCAAACGCCGGGTCTCAAACAACTTTCGGAGGATAAAAGACTCTGCATTCCTCTGCCATTGATAGATTCACTCTCAATCTTTCCTGCAGTTCCTTCGGTGACTCAGGTCTGTTCGACAATGTCTAACCCTTCTTCTGTCAAGAGCATCATTTCTTCGGCGGCTGCTGGTTATCAAGATTCAAGCCACAACCCCCACCGTGTTCTTCAATGACGCCCACGATGGTAATTATCGCCTGTCATTGTTACCCATCATTCATTGCTGACTCTGAGGTCCGTAGTTGGTCAATGGCCTATGCATTTGCTCATTAAGCATGTCGATAAAATCACTATCTGGTACAATGGCTTCCCACCGTGCACCATCTACGGCATCCAGATCGAGTACACCTTGACCAACCAGACCCAGCCCGTAACAAAGATGCATGGCTCTACAAAGGGCCGCTCCCAGGTGTTGACGGCCGAGGAAAACGAGTTCTTTGTTGGTGCCTATGGTCTCGTGGACAGCGGCACCCAGCCTGTCCTTAGGAGCATCGGCTTCTTGAAGTATAACTCTAAGACCCACGAAAATTCTTCCACTGGTCAGTTTTCTGCGATGTGTGCAGCGTGCCGTGAATTTAATTATGTGTGTGTTCACGCCATTCCAAGGCCTTTTCCCCTGTAATGTGCGGAACCCTTACTCTGAGTACATCGACTTCAAAATTACGGGTGAGATTATCGCGTTCGGTGGTAACACTGGTAGCAACGCTGTGTTATGTCCCCTCTGCAGTACTTACTTCCAGTTACTGACCCTGTCCCACAGGCAGCCTCGAGACGCTTTCCATCTACAGTTTCGAGACTGGCACTGGTTACTCTGGGGCGTAAATGTTTGCAGTCCCAGTCGCAGTTTCTACTTCTGCTTCAAGCTCCAAGATTCTTGCTGTCCTACGTTTTGTTTCTGTACTTTTATTCCTGTAGCTGTGATGGATTGGTTCAAGGTCGGGGTACTATTATTCCTCTGCTTGCCTTCCTGAGGTCCACGTGCACCAGGCAAGGATATCATATATGTCCAATGCTATCTGAAATACCGAGTTTATTTTTTTGTAAGATTATATCAAGTTGTTACTTGGACTTGAAGTCCGAGATAGTCGACGTCGTGTCCAAGCAAGAAGTCGTCAGATGACTCGCGGTATCAACTCGAGTATTTCCATACTGGCGTTGTCAGTGGCATGGATGTCCGAGGAGTCCAGATGTAGAGACAGCGAAGAGAAGGTCCGTATCGATTAGTGGTCAAATCATCTCGTTGTGGTAGGATTCTTGGTCAAGATATGCGCTCCGAGAAGCCCCAGGCTCGAATCCTGCTACGGACAATGCGCTGCCATAGTTCTTGTTTTTTTTTCGCCGCTTTGGATGCTGTGGTGGTTAGGTCTGCGCGCGCGAATCGCGATTCATTCAATGGTGACTCGGGGAAGGACATGATGCATGATACGTACGTACGTACCACCGTGACGGTGGCTTTGAGTATAATGACATTGTTAGTAGCAAGGATGTAAGCGTGTAGAGAGAAGAAAGCGAGCGTCCGTATCGATTAGTGGTCAAATCATCTCGTTGTGGTGAAGACTTTCAAGCCTACAAGCGCTCCGAGAAGCCGCAGGCTCGAATCCTGCTACGGACATCAACCACGGCTGTTTTAACCGCTTGTGCTTTTTAGCCTATTTACATGCGGAGCGCGATTTGGAGAAGCCAAGTAGATTTTTTTTTTGAGACAGAAGGTGGTACGGTTACAGGTCGTGATGTTAGAAAAGATGATGTTTCGCAAGTCCGTATCGATTAGTGGTCAAATCATCTCGTTGTGGATTAGTCAGCTCCGAGAAGCCGCAGGCTCGAATCCTGCTACGGACATTCCAACCCGCCTCTTTTATCTTTTTCTTATCTTCCTTTGACTGGGACAGAGCTGTGATAAAAATCCCCCCGACACATCTGAATGACATTGGAAGCGAAAAGAAAGACTTTTGGAGAGTAGTATGGGTGTAGTGTGACATAACCCTTAACCCCGTCACGATGTGTGACGTGTTGATCTTACTTGCGCCCGTGTGTTGTTGAATTAGTTGCTCGCAGAGGTACGCCATCGTTGCTGTTCCGGACCGAAGGCCTCCCGAACCATGAACAACAATGCCAATGCCTATTTCCCGCCTCAACACGCCATCAATCCCGCCCACCTACAAAAACAGCAGCAGCAGGCACAGCGAATACGCGAGCAGCAGCAGCAGGTCAGGATGCAGGCCCTGGGCTACTCCCCCGGTGGCATGATGCTCCCCCCGACTATCATCCCCCCCATGCACCGCCCCCCCAGCAGAGCCTCACAGCCACCTATGCGCCCCAACACTCCACAGCACCGCGCTACCCCCACCCCGTCCCCCCATCCCGCCCCGTCCCCGCCCACCACCAAACTCTCCCCTGGCCCTCAGCAGCGCCCCACCTCCAGCTCGGGCATGGGCATGATGGGCGTGGGCATGAACATGAACATGAACATGAACATGATGGGCATGGGTATGATGGGTGCACAGGGCCAAATGCCAGCGCAGATGCCACCCATGCAGACGCCTATGCAGATGCCGATGCAGACGCCAATGACGCCCATGCAGATGCCCATGCAGACACCTATGCAGACACCTATGCAGATGCCCCTCCATGCGCACCAGCACCAGCACCAACACCCGCACCAACACCAGCACCCGCTCGCGCATACGCACCAGCGACAGCCCTCGCTCCCCCGCCAGCCGTCCGTCAAGGCAGAGAGCGTGCCCCCGTCTGACCGCGCGTCTAGCGTGGGGACCCCTGCGCCCCCGGGTGCGGGAGACGCACAGGGAGATCTGGTGGCCAAGATGGAGGATAGAGGCTCGGTGCCCCCCAGGGCGTCGGCGTCTGCGACGCCCGTGTCTGCGCATGGACACGCGGGCACGCCTGGGTCTGTGTCTCGTCTCTCTACGGGCACACCCGTGCCTAATATGCCGTCCACACCGACCCCCCTGCCCATTGCCAGCACCAGCACCAGCACACCACAGATCGCACCTACCACCACCACGCCCCAAACCACTACAGCTACCGCCGCTACGACCGCCACCTCAACCACCACCACCACCACCACGAACTCGAACACAAACTCGACACTCCTCCCCCCGCCCCCCCTCCCGCCGACCGTCCACCTCAACCCGCAAACAACACAAACGACCCTCGTCCCCCTCCTCACATCCACACAGACCATCCCGCCGCTCGTCCCGGGCGAAATATCCGCCGTTCAGGGCTGGATGGCGCAGGACCAGGCGTACGAGGCGCGCTTCCGCGCCATGCGCGAGCGCGTGCATAGTGAGTCCGCCCACGAGGGGTGGGGGGGAGGAGTGGGGAAGCGCGGAAGGGGGTGGTGGGAGAAGGGTGTTGCGGCAGAGGGGAATGGGAATGGGAATCGGTGGAGGAGGCCGAGGGAGCCGTTTGATGTGCGGTATCCGAAGAGGGCACGCGAGGGGAGGAGGAGGGGGAGGAGGGAGGGGGTTAGGTTGTGAGTTGCTTTTTTTGTTTTCTTTTCGTTTTCTTTCGTTTGTTGGTTTTTGGGGTTTTGGTGTTATTTTTTTTTTTTTTTGGTTTTCCTTCCCGAACCTGGTTTTCTTTCGTTTGTGTTGGGTTTATTATCTACCTACGATACCATACGATATGGTACATGACACGAGACGCTGACGCCCCTCCCCTGTTCGTTGCAGACCCCGCAAACTCGACACAAAAGACACCAACAGGCCCGAACAGCTCGTGCCCATCCGGCTCGAGTTCGACGTCGAGCACCACAAGATGCGCGAAACGTTCGTGTGGAACCTCAACGGTGCGTCTGACCCCCTTCCCCTTCCCACTTAACCCCAACCCCAACCCCACCCACGACTGACTGACACTGACACTGACACTGACCCACCACCCCACCCCCCACAGACCCGATAATAACACCAGAGCACTTCGCGCAGTCCCTGGTAGAAGACTACGCCCTCGCGCCGCCGCAGACGTACCACGCGCTCATAGTGAAAGCGATCCAGGACCAGCTGAGCGACTTCAAGGCGCACTCGGGCGCCCCGTCGTCCTCGCCGTTTGACGTCGACGGCACGGACGAGGCGCAGACGCAGCAGCAGGGGGGCGCGCAGGCGCAGGCGGTGCAGGCGTATAGCGTCCGGCCGGTGGATGGGCGGGAGCCGAGTGATTTTCGTGCGGGGGAGCGTGAGCGTGGGGAGCCGGAGGGGCAGGCGCAAGGGCAAGAGGGGGATGGTGATGGTGAGCACGAGCGGGAAGGGGAAGGAGAGGGGGAGGGAGACGAGATGAGGGGGCGTCTGGGCGCCGAGGAGGACCTTAGGTGGTGGAAGGGGTGGCGGGATCGGCTTGGGCGTAGGCCCCGCCCCCGCTCCCGCCCCGGGCCCAGCCGGAGTAAAAAAGACGTGATTGGGAGTGGGAGAGCGAGGAAACGGAGACGGGTCGCGGTGGGCGTGGCTGTGAAGATTGAGGAGGGAGACGCGGATGCGGACGTTGAGGATGAGGATGGTGATGAGGACGAGGAGAGGGAGGACAGGGGGGACAGGGGGGAGGAGGAGTGGGCGAAGAGTGTGAGGTTGGATGAGATGGAGGTCGATGAGGCGAAGATGAGGGAGGAGATGAGGGTTTTGATCAAGGTGTGTCTCGTGTTTCCATGTTGGGCTGATGCTGATTGGCGTTGACAGTTGGATATCATCGTCGGCTCGATGCGCCTCGAGGACCAGTTCGAGTGGGACATCGAGAATGACTATGGGAATGGAGTCCTGCCTGAGGAGTTTGCAGAGGTGTATGCGAGGGATTTGGGGCTCGGTGGCGAGTTTACGTGCGTACCTCCCATTTTTTCCCTCCCAAGACCTGACATAACCACGCCTTTCTCCACACAGCACCGCGATAGCGCACTCCATCCGCGAACAGATCCACACGTACCAAAAGTCGCTCTTCCTCCTCGGGCACAACCCCGCCCCGGACGGGCCCCAGCTCCCGCTCGCCCTCCTCGACGACGACCTCCGCGCCTCCTTCCTCCCGCCCCTCGCCACCTCCTTCCGCCCCGCGGACCTCGTGTCCTCGTACACACCCACGCTCAACTACCTCTCCGACGCCGAGGTCACGCAGTACGACAAGGACCGCGAGAAGGAGATGACAAGGCGGCGCAAGCGCACGCAGCGCGCGGGCGGGCGCAGGGGCGCCGTCGCGCTCCCGGACCGCGAGTTCCCCATCCGCACGAACCGCACGCCCGCGATCGGGTTCCCCGAGCTCGACGCGGCGACCGTGGCGCAGATGGCGGCGGTGAGCGCGCCGACGAGCAGGAGGGCTGCGGCCGCGGCCGCGAGTTTGACCATCGCGAATATGGTGGCGAGCGAGAACGGGACGGCGGTGATGCCGATGCCGGTGCTGCCTGTCGCTGCGGAGCCGAGTATACAAACGCAGGCTCAGCAGGGGCAGGTGCAGCAGAAGAGGAAGACCGGGGGCGCGAATGGGGTTAAGGGACACTTTAAGGCGCCGAGTTACCCCAGTGAGGCGTTGGGCCCAAGAGCGAGGGTCCCGGCGCCCACGCCGTCGACTGCGGCGGATGTGAGGACGCTGCCGGAGCCGTTGGAGAACGACCCCCCGCCCCCGCCGGAGATATCGGTCGTCGCGACGATTAGCAGTGGGTCGGGTGGTGCGGCGCTTCTGGGCCTCGGCGCGCTAGGTGCGGGGGCTGCGGGCGGGGCGCCACGGGCGCTGCATATGAGTGCGAAGAGGGCGAAGGAGCTCGAGAGGGAGGCGAAGGAGAAGGAGTTCGCAGATGGGCAGCATCCGAATATGATTAATGGCGTGTGGCATTGTTCGAATTGTGGGTGTCCCGATAGTATTGCGGTCGGACGGAGGAAGGGGCCGTTGGGTGATAAGAGTCAGTGTGGTGTGTGTGGTGAGTTTGGGTTCCTTTTGACCCTTTTTTTTTGGTTCTCGGTCGCACGAAGCTGACTGTACCCTACCCCACCCTACCCCACTTTACGTACAGGCAAATACTGGCACCGCCACCGCCGCCCGCGTCCCGTCGAGTACAACCCGGACCCAGACTTCCACAGCGGGCTCAAGAAGGACATTGAACAATCTAAAATCATGGCCTCCGCAAAAAAGAAAGGCGCGCGCGGCAGCGCGCTCGCGCAGTCGACCACGCACCCGCACACGCCGGCAGAGACGTCCGAGGCCCAGACCCCCGCGCGCTCGACGGCAGGGAACGACATGGACGTGGACGTGGATGCGTCGGCGCGGCAGAGCCCTGTGCCCGCCGGGGCGGGTGAGGATAGGGACAGGGACAGAGACAGGGAGCGCGCGGTGTCGCCCGTGTCGACCTCCTCGAGCGCGAGCGAGGCGCCGTTGGCGCAGAGGGCGAGGGCGAATGGGAGCAGGAGGATTACGTCGCCCCCGCTGGATTCGTCGCCGGTTAAGCGCGATGAGTCGCTGTCGCCGAGTAAGGGTGCGGGGTCGGGGTCGGGGTTGGGTCCGCCGGTGAGTAGGGAGGCCAAGCCCCAGTCTCAGTCTCAGGCCCCGGGACAGGCGCAGGCGCAGAGCTCGCCGTTGAGTCAGGTTAAGACTGAGGTACGTTTTGGTTCTTGAGTTACCAGGCGT